ATTAGTGATAATGGAAAAGTACAGTTATATGGACATTTTATAGTACATCACAACACTGAAAGTTGTATCTGGAAGACCAGATAAAATATTATATTGGAATAGGCTACATAAATGTTTATTCAAATAAAACATAAATATTTGTAAACATTCACGTGTAAGTCATGACATGTTCATGTTGTGTGTCAAGAAAGAGAAACCGCACACACACAAGGAAGGATGAGAATTACCAAAACCTTCACTAAACCAAACATAATGTCAAATACACAGTCAATATCACATCCTCATGGTTATCCCAAAGCCAACCAAAAGTATATAAAAGTTTACAGGTTAGTTTGTATGTCGATATAGCGAAGTAAATAGTATTGGTCATGATTTTGGCATGTGTTTATTTAAGAATGAAACAGTACAGCAACATTAAAATCACCACAGTGGTACTTGGGGAGATGCAGAACAAGAATCTGGTGGAGTTTGCAGAAAACAATTTGATTTCCTTTTTTTAATGAATTTTTAAAATATGTCTGTATGGCGAGGTAAATAGGAGTACTCATGAGTTTTGCATGCAATTATTAAAAAAATGAAACAGTAAAGCAACATTAAATTTACCACAGTAATACTTGGGGAGATGTAGAACAAGAATTTGCAGAAAACAAATTGTATTTATTTATTTTTAATTAATTTTTAAAATTCAACTCCAACATCAAGTGTCTCAGGCCAAAACATGCATAAAACATTTTACAAAAACATTTTACAAACCCATTGCAAATGTTTTATTGAAAGTTTAATACATTGAATACCATTAAATAAGAAGTGCCTGTATAATGTGTTTTTAATTAGCCTATTATTATCGATTAATTGACTGTTGTTTCAGTTTGATACGCGCTCTGACCCACTCCATGTCCATGGTGCACTGTAGCTTTACAGAATACAGAATACTGTCAGCACAGAAGACAAACCCATGGGCTGCTCCTGCATGATGTAACCCGTTATAACAAACCATCCCTGACACTGTCCTACTAGACTAGCCTTTCTGACTGCTTCTGTTGAGCCCACGAAGCATCCTACGCATGTTTGGTAGCCTACTGTTTTTACTGAAAACACGTTTTAACAGCAAATTTCGGCTAGCACAAATCGTTAGAACACCGAAAGAAATATATTAAGCTTAAATGTCTTACCATGGTCGAGTAAACACCAGAACAATAAGGGCGAAATAAAGAGAAGCTTAATTTTCATTAGGTTTTCTAAAAAATAAACGCAGATTTTGATAGATAATAGTGCTATGTTCTTTCTCTTCAGTAAACCCGATGCCATTGTGTCTTCTTCTTCTTATTGTTTTACGGCGGTTGGTATCCAGCTTACTGGTGCATTAAGAAACCGTTGTGTCACGAATGAAAGTGAAAATGTAATTTGGGAGGCTCCCTACGCACTGCAGAGCGATGAACGTCACGTTCTTTAATCTGCGTTCGTGCTGTTTGTAAAGTGCTGTGTAAATGCTGTTTGATTGTGTTAGTACATAATTGTTTTTGTCTAAAAATTTGAAGGCTTTTGAGCAAAACAGATCTTAATGTTGTAGTGTACTATTTTTTTCTCTCTCTCTTTTGGTGGCTGCTATGTTTCTTAAATTAATACATATATCCTAGTAGCCTATAGGGCTGTAAAAAAAAATCGAATTTCGAATATTCGTCGAATTAAAAAAAAAAATCCACATTCGAATGCAAAAACGTTGCATTCGAATTTAAGGTCTGCGTCCTTATCAGTGGCGCACGAGATGCGATGACGATGTGCCATTGATTGCATTTGAATGCTTTTGTTAGCCTATCCAGTTGAACCCACTAGATGCTGCTACGTTGTTCATTTAATATATTGCGGAAAGCGAGAGCATCAGTGTGGAGAAGATGTTGTTTACGTCAAAACTGAAACCAAGCCGTTCACACAAAACGCATATTTATCACATTTTCTATAGGGACATCTATCTGTCAGCGTTGCGCTCGCGTCCCGCAGAGAGCGGCATGTTTAGAAAGCCATGTAAAATTAATGCAAGTTCAACTTTTAAAAAACACGTCTAAAAGACGTTATGGCGTTTTTTCCCCCATCCCACTGTATCTCATGTTTTTAAATGAAGAAAGTAGCCTACTCTTTGTGATTGGTTTTCGGTCCTTTGTATTAAACTATACATGCATGGTGCTGTTTTTTTTTCTAATTGTTTAAGCAACTTTATTAATTATATATGGTTTATAAACATTATTTTAAACATTATGCACTTTTTTTCAAAGAAATGTGCATAATATTTTGCTCGATGCGCCCTCTTGTGGCCTCAGGAGAGAAGCCAAACTGAAACTATGCCTTTTAAATTCTAATATAATTCGAATTTTGATAATATTTAAGTAGAAAATTCGAATTTAGCCTATAGCCTAATTTGGCGTTTTATTATATTTGGTTATAGACATTATTTATCTGGATGAAATCAAACATTATTAAGCTTTCACAGACACAAACAAGAGAGTAAGAGACCACTGCATAACGTGATTATTTAGCCAGTAATATTGTATGTTTATATATGCTATGGCCTATATTTGAGGCCCTTGTACTGCATAATAATAATAATAATAATAATAAAGCAATTAAATAAATAAATAACAATGCTAAAATAAGTTCTAGGTTTGTAGTTATTTATGAAGAGTTCAGATGCAAAAGCCTCTAAGTGTCATCTAAAATTTTCTTCTAAAATGGTTATTTTCTCAGGCTTCTATGTTTATGTTCAGTTATTTTACTTTAATGGGAAAGGGTTAGGGTTAAAAAAAAGAAAGTCTTACTGTCTTACTTTCTTTTAAAAGAAAGTAAGACAGTAAGACCCGCCTTCTTTGATTTGATTGGCAATCTCGATCAGTTTGACATTGACGAGCACTGTTGGACCACTGAGGCAGACCAGCCTAAAAGTTTAACTTTTAAAACTTTTTGTCATCCTAACAACAAACAGCTTTACTCATTCTTATACACAGAGTCTTATACCGTCTATCAGCTATGATTATTTTAGTCTTTCAAAGGACAAGATGGGTGGAAAAACAGTAATAAAAATGAGACAAATGACATAAAATGCAGGCCAGGAGGAAGCCCTCTAGAGGCGCGAGGCCCTGTGCGGTCGCACACTTGGCACAGCCCTTGCGACGCTACTGTTGTCATGTATTAATTAATCAGTCTGTGCCTTTAACACGAAACTACAATTGGTTGGTTCAGTAATTACACAGCATTAAAATCATTTTGTTCAGTTATACTGCATAAACAATAGCACATCTGTGAGTGAGGTTTCTAGTGACCTTTCAGTGACCTCCTTCTGCAACAACGGCCAAACAGTCTTAATAATTTACATAACACATGCATCTTTGCTACACAAGCTCATTAAAATCAGTTCATATGCGTAAAAATTGAGTAAGTTCAGCTAATGTGTCCTTACACCACAGAGGTGAATTGGTTAAAACGAATGAACACTTAGTTTTGGGTATAGAGGCAAAGTGTCATGGACATGCATGTGCAACTTTATGATCACCACACAACCCGCATCCTTTACTCACTCCTACTCAAGGCATATGCAGGTGCGTTCATGCAACCAAGTAGTGATTACAGCATATTTCCATAGACTCTAGTCCCTCCTGAAGGCTGGAAAACTGATTCATCACTGCAAGATTTAGAAGGTATCTTATGTTCTTTCTTTCTTTCTTTCTTTCTTTCTTCTTCTTCTTCGTTATAACTATAACCACCAAAGTTTTTTTGAACACTGAGTATATATATTGCTGTTACATTATAAAGAGAAAATATATAGCCTACATCTCTCTTTATAAAACCTTTTTGGCATAAAGAGAGCATAAAAATGAGTCTAGAACCCTAAGGTTCTGTATAAACTGAACTTCTGCATGAATGTTTGCATGAATGCACCTGCATATGCTTTGAAGAGGAATATAAGTCAGTTTCTCATCTTGGTCTGTTGTTACCGTAGACTTAAGCAGGACAGGAAGAAGCCCCTCTTCTACAAACTAAACACATACGCTCTCAATGCCCAATGTCTTGCAAGAGATGCTTTGTGAGCCAAAAGATCAAACCAAGTTTCTTAAGAAAACCAACCACAGCAGGTTTCAGTTTGACTCAGAGGCTGAACTGTGAGTGCCGGTGTATATTTCAGTAAACCTGGTCATGTGAGATGAGAGACATTGTTCACTGTAAAAAGTGGCAACCTGCAATTGTTACTTAAAATAACTATTTCACCTGATTTAACCCTGATTTAAAATGAGGTCGTTTGTATAAATGAATGCATCTGGGTTGGTTTAATGATCTTAAAATATTTTAAACTTGAATAAACTCGGTAATACACGTGTTGCCATTTTTAGGTTACCTTTTTTCAGTGTACTTTGATTATTCTATACACAAAATCTGAGAAAAAAATATATAAACACACACACACACACACACACACACACACAC